ATGGGTAACCTTTAAATAAATATACTGCCAAGGGAAAACCTGTAAATACGAAATTTAAATTTTCTCAGTACTTAAACTCAGAAAATTCATAATCAGTGGTCTAATTGGGTTAATAAAATTTTGAACGTACTGTATATATATATCTTGCATTATATTTGTGTGTAAGAATTGTTGATAAATTTCATATGACACAATAAAATCTTTGGTATGCTATAATTAAATACTGCTACAGTATATGCAATAAATATATTATATATATAGATAGATATGTACAATACAGCAATAGGGATATGTGAAAATCCTAAATTTACAATATAATGTATAATAATCAAACAATAACATTTCTTGACTCCTCATTAAGATTATTATTACTTTCCCTAATACTATCAAAACTCTTATTTAAATTATTTCTCTCATCATTTTTATACTCTACATAAGCAACAAATTCACCACTAACACCACTACTAGTAAAATTTGTAAAATCATTATCTGCTATATCAGTCATATCTACAAATTCATTTTGTTTGACAACACGTGATGAACGAGATAATTCGAGTTTTTTGATATAATCTATTATACTTATAATGGAGATAAGAAAAGATACACCGGACAAAGACCACATGCATGATAAGTTCGTTAAACGGATGTAACAAAAGGTGAGAAGGGATGAAGGTTGATAATTATAGGAAGATGGACACGATAATTCCGGAATTGAAGATGGTTCGTGAATTGTAAAGTACGTGTAGGTGACTTTGTTAGGTGAAGTTAAATACGTATTAAAAAAATATATATAAAATAATAACTCGTGAAATGTTAAAAAATGGTAAAATTTCTGGTATGATAATAATTTACTTACTAGTAACACTGATCCATAATAATTCTAATAATAAAAATCTGAAAAAAAATATAAATGTTAGTCGTGAAAAGAGAATAGTATAGTAATTGAGAATAGTGATCGAAAAAAGCGCGTACAGTATTGCATTAATAATGAAGTTTCTATTAAATTCGGTATAGTGGTTTAGAAGAATAATGACAAACACTAAAACTAAATAAAAAAAGATAATTTATTAAAAATCGATGACAAATAAGCTGATCTCACGAAGAGTTCAAAGACTAACCGAACGTGCATAACGCCGTTATAAAATATCTATATAAAACATACAAGATGAATTTTTATATAAAGATTATTATTACAAGATTATTATTACAAGTTTATTACAAGTTTAAGAAAAAACTTACAAATACTCAATAACCCAATTAACATGTATAATAACATCTTCATAACGATATTGATTAAGTAATACGATTTTTGTAAGTTCTTTAAAAAATTAAACCATTTAGTATAATGACGTTAAAAAAAAAAAGAGAATACTACGATAGATAATAACATACCTACCTATCCAAGGACTAAAAAATAATATCACTAAATATAAGAAAAGCAAGCACCTAAATAAAATTTCCATAGCCCGCTTTTTTTTTTTTTAAAAAAAAAAAAAAAGAAAACCGAAAGTAAACTGATTCGTTCTCGAAACGTCAATTATATTTATTACTTAAAAGAAAGACATTTATGATTAGGATGAAATTTAACGTAAGGTTATCTGTTATGATAAACCTATGACAATTTTTTTCCCGTAGAATTAACGTTAACTGTTAATTTTTTTTTAAGTACGTTGTACAAGCTAAATGTTTTCGGATTTATGTTTCGTGAAGATGCACGAGTACTACAGTGTGCCAAAAGTTTCAGATTTACTAATTTAACTACGTAAGTGCGTACTGTATATGCTTTGTTTTTTTAAATATATACAGTAAAATAACTAAAATACAGTAATTCAACTAGCATTCAATCTTTCATCTCTGAGTAATATTTACACAAGCATACGTATATAATTTGGATTTAACATTCATTTG